AGTCACGCAGATTGAAACACAAGCCCATTCTCCATTTTCTCATGTTTTTTGGTTTTTTTTTTTTGGTCTATTTTTCTATTCAGACTCTTTATAAACACAGTCCACCTCCCTAAAGCCACACTGCTCTTTTAGCTCTGTGCTCTCATGTGTGGCACAGCTCCTGCCACTCCTCCTGCTCCACTGTACTTTCTCTGTCTCCTCTTCTGTCCCTACTCTGCCTCTCGCCCCTCAGAGCCCTCAGACGAGCTCCATGTCGTCCAGCTGCTGGAGGGGCTTCCCGCTGAGCTGGCCCTGCCGGGGTTTGCCCCTCTGGCTGTGGACAGGGCCATGGCCCACCACCTGCATCACTGCCCCTACCACCTCCGCCTCCTCAAGACCTGGCTGATGTCTGGTCAGGAGCTCCCAGAATCCCTTCACGGTCAGCTCCCGTACTCCCCCGCTCACTTCCTGTTGCCTCCTCTTTCGTTCACCCGTCTGGAGCAAGTGGGACGCAGCCAGTCCCAGCTGAGCTTTGCATCGACTGTAGTTTAGACTGTGGTTTTTCCAGTCTGGTTTTGCGTCTGTGCATTCATCCTTTTTCTTCTTATTTCTGCCTGATCATCACACCTGCAGCCCTGCTCCATTTCATGCCCAACTGTAAACCTGTTCCTACTTCTCTGTGTTGTTTTGCATGACAACCAGAGGGTTAACAGTGGCTTTCAAAGCGAGAAATGTCCATCTTCCTCATCATACTTAAAGTCACAGTGAAACAGCACTTATTATGTGTTGATTAAAAAAAATCTATATTAAATGATCTTGTCAGGACAGGAGCAGCCTGAGATCCACCTTCTTCTTCTGCTGACTTAAAGTTAGAGCATCTTCTGCAGTGCCACACATTGAAGGAGAAGGATCTGATCACTGATTTGATTGCGTTGTGCAAAAGTGAGCATGGTTTTGTGAACACAGAGCAAAGCAGAGAAGTGCACCACACCTCCCTCACCTCTACTGTTACACCTGGGGTCAGAGATGAGGGTTAAGTGAATAAAGTAGACCTCTACAACATTCTTTGGAAACAGATCTCTGATCTCCAACAGCTACAACCACCCACTAGCTAACGGTCAAAAACTGGTTTTATAGGATGGCTGACGTAAGCTTGTCGCCCAAATCACATCTGATTGGATGGATTTATGTATATGTCCCCATGTTAGTCATTAGTTTCTATCCACATTCAGTCGAATTTTAACCACATTTCCAGTTTATCTGTAAAATAAAATGCAAATTAATTTGTACATGCAAATATTGTTGCTGTTGCATGAAGATAAAGAGTATGTAGCAACCCTAACTCTAGCTAGGTCTGTAGTCAGGTCTCTATAAACCTTTGCAGAAGAGATGATGTCATACAAGAGTGACAGTCAAGAATAGAAAACATGAACAAGAAATATTGCATTTATGTTTGTTTCATACATTAATTTGAGGATATTATCATTTGCTCCACACAGATCTGATGTTTTCATCTGCTGCCATGAAGCGTAAAAGTGTAAAAGTCACGTGCTTCATGACCATTAGGATTTATTCACCAAGTCTGTTTGTTGTATTTTCTTTTTTTATGATAAACCAACTTTCCCACCTCAGCCAAGCATAAACAATGTTTGAAAACTTTTCCAGTGTTTCCACCCTACACACAAATCAAAAATGTGCATAAAAACAGTAGGATGGAAACGCACTCGGAAAAAGAAAAACTACTTGTATATAGATATTAATTAAAACCAGAAGATAACTGAACAATGACCACAGGAACGCTTGTTAGAACTTTTTATTTCACTGTGGCTTTAAGGCTTAGGTCTATTTTATCCCTTGTCCTCCTTTGCACAAAATTACACGTGCCTTTTTTCCAAACAAAAAAGTTTTTATTATGAGGAAACCTCCATCAGTTTCTATCTTTTCTTTCTAAATGTTAGAATCTGCACAAACAGGACTAATTGCTCTACATGCATGCCGGGTGGGCACTTGATGACCAGTGAGACAAACTCTTCTCTGGAAGAAGAGTTTCAGGCTTGTCTAACTGCATTGTGTGCATGCTCCATCTGGAGTAATGGTTTCTGCACAGGACATGCCTTTTTTTTTTTTAAACTGGCACTGGTCCAGTAACGAGCTCTGTCTGTAGACTGGAGTCAGAGGTGTTGATGGCACCAATTTGGCCTTCACACAGCAAAGGTCGGGTATTGGGCTTCACCGTGTCTCCCCCCAGTGTTCTGCAAAATGTGCTTCCTGGCCAGGTGGCAGATATGAGAGTGTCTGTTGAAAGATTTGGGTCATTATCTTATCCCTCATTTTAATTGGCTAATTAAGTGGTAGCCTGCTCATAAACTGCTGATTTTATAAAGTGTTTCTGGAGCACGTCTTGGCATGTTGTGCAACCTTAATGGAGCTGCACAATTTGTAGGGATAACTGCAATAAATTACAGATGTTTTGCTACAGGAACCAGTAGATTCACATTTGTTTTAGCTCTGTCACACTGAATTTTTCTTTTGCTCTTTTTAAATATCATCGTTCTTTCTTTTCTGTCCTCCTCTCTTTCTTACTGCCTGTGTTGGCAAGTGGCTGAATGTATGGTGCAGTGTAGCATCAGTGTTTTTCCTGCTCCCACTGCATCTAGTGTGTGAGCTGAATTTGATATCCACATGAAGAGGCTGCAGCAAAGATAAGGAGGAGGGAAATGTGATGAATGCCATCCAGTTGCTGTTATTTTTATACTGCTCCTGCTTCATTAGACAGCTCAGTAAAGACAGAATAAACAGTTAGAGGGGAGGATGAATGTCATGTAGTAAACCTAAAGAGCGCCATCAAACTCATAAATCATAAATACGTGATACACATCTCTATCTGCTGAGTCATCAAACCACTTCCTCCTTCCCTCCACGTCCTTATGATATCGCAGGTATTATTTTTCCTTCTGTCATCAGAGCTTTGGCAGAAAGATGTTTTCGGTGTTGAACAGCAGTCTTGGCTTGGTCTAATGAACAAAGCTGCTTTGGCCAAAATCCAGTACGGAAAAGACTGAAAGATTAAATACGCCCTGTAACAACGGTTAAAGCAGCTGTCTGTCATGTGTCCTGCCCCTACGGTCCTGTTTTACTTTGTGTTGTGGTGTATATCAGACAATTGGTCGACAAAGAAATGTCATGTAGAGATATTTACATTGTCGATATAAATCGGAGTGAAAGCAGAAAAAACACAAGCCTCAGAATCATTTACATCTTCCTTGATGTCCATGAATGATCCCATGAGAAACATTAACACTGAGCGACTGAACAAATTACCATCTGGAGAAATTCATATCTGGACCCTTCAAGACCTTGAACGGTTCTTGTCCATTAGCTGCTGCCGACAGTTCGTTCTGCTTGTGTCGTTAGACTAGACGACTTGTTTTAGGGAACAGCCGTGAAAAAAATCTGGAGTCGTAACACATTAGTCATGGAGACATGCGAGGCTGATCAGCATGCTCTCTGGGGAGATGGATGAACTGAAAGCACTGCGTCAACCTCCATCCATTCCCTTTTTTTTTTTGTCATGGAATGACTTCATCGTCGTGTTCGTTGTCAAGCTGCACTGAATGTCCGTGGACTGTTTTTGCTGTAGGTTTGTGTGTTAAAGTCGACTCACCATGGCACCGCTGTGTTGTTTCTCAGCAACATGGACTATTTTCCAGGTTTTTATGTAAGGAAAATGTATTAAAGTACATGCATGAATATACAGTATATCCACTTAAATTTATGGCAGTGGAGATATATTTATCTTCATCATAATGAATATTCTGAATATAACTATGTACAGCCTATATAATGGACAACACATCTGTTTTCAAGTCTTTTTTTTAAGATACCAGGATTGTGGTCAATTCACTTTCAATCCACTTCTTATCAAAACCAGTAAAATGATTGTTACAATTGATCCTTAAGGAGAAATCATCTTTCATGTTGCCCCCCGTCATCATCAAGGTCAGAGTTCATGACAATTACTGTCCTCGTCAAGGACACTTAGGCGGCCCAGATTATTTTTATATGGGCCAATTTTTTTTCTTCCCTCAAGCTGTCAGGATTATTGGAAATCCAAACTGACCTAGGTAAAAACACACATATATATATATATATATATATATTATTTTAACATTAATGAACAAAGCTGCATATCAGCAGAAGTTCTCCTGCAGCGTAAACGATGCACCGTCTTTCTGCTTCCTGATGGCCCATTATTGTTGGCAGCACCTTGTGTCTAATGTTGGGTCTCATATCCAACATTGACTTCAAGAAAAAGCCCTTTAAGCATCAGTTGTTGACAGCTATGACTGACGTCACTACGACAACAGTTTGCAGCTGGTGGTTTCTTAAACTTGATTAATCACCGTATGCATCACCTGTACCTTATTGCACATACAAAGCTCCGTAAAGTTTATTTTATGAGTAAATTACCAACCAAACGGCAATCAGAGAACACAGTAATCTGTGGCATAATTTCATCACTTTCAATACAAGTCAGACTCCAGACTTTAAAAGTCTGTCCAGTGTGCCAATGATTAGATTAGAAATTCTCTTCCATGTGGTGTGAATTAGAGTGAATTGGTGCACATCCTCTTACTGTACATTTATGACACAGTGATCAGAACAAAACATTTTTGTTGATATGATCTCACTAACCAAAGTATTAACCAGTTAACATCAGCCTTATGACTCATTATATGTCTGCCGACATATATTCTGGTTAGTTACTTTGACTACTTTACCAACTGTCTGTTGTATCAGCTGCTGTGAATAAGTAATAATATAACTAACTGTAGATCTTACAGCAGCCTAAAAGTTTGTGTGGCTAGTTAACAAATAAAAATGGCCGCCGCAGTGAGAGCGTGAACAGCCATCACGCAGAGAGAGCTGTAACGTCACCGCTCCTCCACCTGTTCTGTCAGATGGAGAAGTGGTACGATCAGCTGTGTGTCTGTCTGTCTGTCTGTGTGTCTGTGCTGCAGGGTTTGAAGGCTGCTCCATGGTGCCCTCTATCTATCCACTGGAGACGCTGCACAACTCGCTCTCTCTGAAGCAGGTGGACGAGTTTCTCAACACGGTGTGTGAGAGCAGCAGCGAGGCCCACGCCAAAACCATGAAAGGTGGGTCAACACTGTGAAACAGCAATAGATAGAAACTTTTTTTCTATTGTTTAGTTCTCCACTAATTATAAAATGCAGAAGGTTTCTTATTTGGAGGCAAAAAAAGCACAAGTTGGAGTCAAACTTTTTAATTATAAAGTATGTAATTGAAGGTTAGTTTTTGTCCAAACCATATGCAATATTTGAAAAACTGATTTATTGTAAACAGGACAATTTTGCAAGAAATTTGTGCCTAAAATTCTGCATTGATGCCTCAAGTCTATTTTGTTGTGTTTTCCTGATGCAAAGTAAAGTGCAAACACTGAATATTTGGACAGTCCCCCTTTTTTTGTGTTTGTTGGGTGTTTATATTCATACTGGGTGAATGAGCAGTTCAAATTAAATTACTATTCAGAAGGACAGTGACCCTGAACACAAGGCATCCAAGATTTATTTTAGAGAAAACTTTGGGTCGCTCTTGAATGTACAAGTCAGTCACGTGACCTCAATTCAAATTATCAAGTGATTCAATAGAAAAATTCCTCAAAATAAACAAATGATGGACGACACAACATCACCAGGGAAGCTCAAGCTGAACCAAATATTAAATACGATGACTGTTTGAGTTAATACTAACTTGTCCAGTTCCCTTCAGTGTCCTAAAATATTCCTGTAATATTGATCTAATCAGGCTGTAAACACCAGACTATACTGTTGCTCCAGTAATAATTATTAGTAATAATTAGTAATAAGTAGTAATAAGCTTTGATATGTGACATTTGGAAACTGATGTAGATGTGTTTTCTGTCTTGGCTCCAGCGCTCTCCAGTCTGTTTGACTCTCAGAGCCAGACGTCTCTCTACAGCCCTCAGCAGCCTCTGTCCTCCTCCGGGTCCGAGACGTCTCTTCGGCCTCCAAGTCGGCCTCTGTGGCGTGAGTGTTTTAAGGATCTTATGTCATTTTGTTGACCTGCTTTTATTTGTTCTGATCTTGTTATATACAGTCTATGGTTCTGATAGACGTCTGCACAAGACAGTTTCTAAGAGATGAAGAACAGAAATGTCCTTGTGGACATAAACTGTTACTTCATAGAGAGTAAACACTGCTGTGTGTTAACTTTGGTGAGAGATCCAGCCGCCTCGCAGTCAGCAAGAGGGCAAGAGTCATCTACCCACATGCTAACTAGCTTTCAAAGATCCTCAGACTGCGGCATGTTGTTGTGCTGTGTTTCCTCTTCGGCTCTCTCCTACTACATCATGTGACAGACGGGTGGTTCATCCAATCACCTGCCTTTTTTTCTCTTGAAACGCCTTCCCAATTTCCAAACAGTTTCTAATGAAGCCTTCCCAGATGGTTCTGTGTTACAGACCATCTGGCACATCGGTTTAGCTGTGTGTCACTGTAAAAAAAGAAAAAAAAAAGATTTGTTCTGTATGGCACTAAATAGCTGTAAAGTTTATGAGTATTGGGTTAGTGCCAGTTGATTATTTTTGGAAACATTCATTGTAATAAATAAATGAATAAATATATAAGAAACCTCATACTGGCTGGTAAAACCTGAATGACTCTAACAGCCAAAATAATTCACTTACATTTTCAGTCACAGCCTGCGGTCACTAAGCAGCTATCAGTTACAGATTCTGTCTTGAACAAGGCTTTTAATCCGGGGCTGATCCAGCAGAGCTGCTCGTCTCGGCTCCGTGTGTGAAAATGAGAAACTGTACAACTGAGAAGCAGAGTGATGCTGGAGGAGACTGCTCAGCAAAATCTCCATGAAGATGAATAGACCTCGTTCACCTCCCCCACATTCAGCATGACCTTCATGTTGAAGGTAGCAGATGTGACCTGATAGGCGTTCATTTATCTGCCATGACCTGGTGGTTACAGATACTGACTGAGTCATAACAGAAAGGTCACATCCTCAGCCCTCGTCAGCTGCAAGGCATCTGTCCTTGAACAACGCTCAGAACGAGGCCTGTAGCTAACAATTATTTGCTTTATATATTAATCTGATGATTATTTTTTCAGCTGACATATTGATTTTTAGTGAAAAAGAAAAAAAGCGGAGCTGTAGGTGCTGGCCACTGCAAGATAAATGAGGAAAAAATAAATCAGCAGTGTTGGTGATGGTGATAACACCGACCAATTTGTGTGTTATTCAGTGATGGTGCACAGGTTTTTTATGCCTCCACCAGGGACAGAGGTACTACGTTTTCGGGTTGTCCATATGTGCGTATATCCCTCTGATATCTCAGTAATGCCTTGAGGCAATTTCGTCAAATTTGGCACAAACATTCACTTGGACTCAAAGATGAAATTGTGACCTTTGGTGGTCAAAGTTGAAGGTCACTGTGATCTCACAAAACACATTTTTGACTATAACTCACAAATTCATACACTAATTCTGCCACAATTTAACACTAATGTCTAATATAATAAAATGATAAAGAATTTCATATCCAAAAGTTCAAAGGTCAACTTCTCTGTGACATCATAATGTTCTGAAAAAACACCTCTGGTCAATATTCATTGACCTAACTCAGGAAGGGGAGCTGGCTGCTTGGTGGAGGCTTACAACTGTGAGGCGGTAACTTTAGTTTTTCCTTCTTTTAGTTTAGAAACTATTAGAAAATGATGAAAAATGATCCAAATGTTTGTTTTGTCCAACCCAACAGTCTAAAAACCTAAAGACATTTCATCTATACTGATATTAGACAGAGGAAAGCAGCAGATCATCTAATTTGTGAAGCTGAAACCATTAAACATTTTGTCATTTCTGTTTGATAAATTGCTAAAATGATTCATTGATTCAGGATTGTTTTAACTGCTGTTTACAAGGTCAGGACTGAAATGTCAGGTTCTACTTGAATAATTAATTGTTTATCAAAACTGTTGGACATGGATTTTCTGTCAGTCAACTATCAATCAGTGTGATCACTTGTTTCAGCACCAATCTGAACAGCCAGTTTAAGTTTCTCTGGGTAAAAGCTTCATCCGAAATGACTAGACTGTTGCATATAAGATAATAGGAGGTCGTCTTTTCATCAATACTGCAAAATGAGTTGTATTTTATTAAAAAGATTTAAAAACAAAAAGGCCCCAAACTGTCAGATGAGTTCAGTCACAGCAGAATGTAAATGTGCGGCAGACCATCCTGTGGGATCAGTTATAAAACTCCAGTAAAATAGGACTCAGAGAACATCACAGCCTCTTTAACAGCCCGTCCCTCCTTTTCAATGTTGTTACCCTCCTCTTTTTCTCCTCCTTTATTCAGTCTGTTTTTCTCTTTTATCCCCCTGGGTCGTGAGGTGATTAATTTATCCTCTTGCCGCCGTTGTTGATTGATGAAGCGTCCATTCTCAGATCTCTCTTTGACTTACCTTCTCTTGTGTTTCCCCTTTTTTTTCATCCACCACCTTGTGTACTTTATTTACATTGGGCTCACGCCGGGTGGTTTTTCAGCTCTCTGTTCATGTCTCAGTCTTTCTCTGTCCCGTCGGTACCTGGTCCAGATCCGGGCCACTGTAGCTGCCGGGAACTCTTTTAGCCTCATTTATCACGCAGCGTGCAGACGGGGATGCTGGAGGTTAGAGCCACATGAATAGGACACTTGTTCTGCTGCTGTTATGACGCTGTTTGTTCTCCTACTGCCTCTAGCTACAGGACGGCTGCTGCAAGTGCAGAGCCACAGTATGTCACTCGTGTGATCTTAGTCTTAACTTCAAAGACCATATTCTAGTCAGATTATCGATATATGAACTGACGTACATGTGGCTTGATTCATCAAACCCAAAAAAACTGTTTTCATAAAGTTCTCCATGGCAACAGAAGATGAAGTGTCGAGGGGATGATGCGGTTGCCTTCCTGTTTTTTTATACCGGATCACTCCCCCCTCTGTGTTCACTTTGTATCCCTCCACATGACGCACGTACAGTACCACAACAAACACGCCCCGACTCTCAGAGTGGAGCGGGGGCTCAGGGCGGCAAGGAATGAGATTAATGCTTCCATCACGGGTCGACAGAACTTTTAAACATTGTAGGATTTTGTACCAGAGAATTGATCTGTTTTGAGATGTGTGTACAGTTTGTGCAGATCGCTGAGTGCACTGGGATCAGCGTGTTTCTGAGTTACAGAGATAATTGACTGAATTTTCTGTTTTTTCAGATGGCAGCATCCCCTCCAGTGCTGTATCCAGTGCAGGCCCCTCTTCCCCGATCACAGAGAGCTCCGGCCTCAACTTCAGCTTCAGTGAGTAGATTGTTTGTCTGAAAAACACAAGGACTTCTGGGTATCTGAGGGCACGATCTGAAGACCTCGGTGTAACCGTCTCTCCGGGCTTTTCTTCATCTTTCCCTTTGTACTTCTGCTCACATTCATAAAAAAACACACTGGAGGGAGATGCTGATTCTGCAGAGAGGCCGCTCTGCCTCGGGTATTACAAACACTCAGGCTGTAAATATAACCACTCAGACTGTTCACGGACTCTTCTGGTGCACCTCCACTCCAGCTCTACACATCCACACCTTCCCTGCTCCGTACTGTGAGAAAACACTGGACCTTCATCAACCTCTCAGCACCTCGATCTTCCTCTTCAGTGTCTCTCTACACATTCATAAACCAGCTCCGACTGCGTAACAGTGCATCAAGCCAACATTCACACCAGTTGTGCCTTTACTTTTATTTTGATGCTGCCCACTTTAAAACACAAATGCTATTTTACAGAATCTTTCAAACACCAGCTGCCTTGTGTCTGAACTTTCCTGCAGACATTTACGGCTAAAATACAGACTGAGTCAAAGTGTCGATCGTGACCATGCCCTATTTTTTTCTTCTGTTGCATTAAAACAATAGATCAGCCCGGCATGAAAGAAAATGGGCTGTTTTTGAACTTGAGGTGAAACTGAGTGACAGTTGACGACTTTGGGTTTCAGCACCAAATATTAGAACCTGGAGTGAGAATCAAAGCCTAAAGAAATGGTGTAAGCTCGGGGAAATATTTTTATGTACTTTGTTGAGCTGAGAGTTTCATGAGAAGATTAATACCACTCTCATATCTGTATGCTAAATATGATGCTACAGCCAGCAGCCAGTTACCCTCGTTTATTGGCACAAAGACAGGAAACGAGGAGAAACAGCTAGTCTGGCTATGTCCACAAATAAAAGAACAGCATCTGTAATTATTAACACCATATATCTTGTTTGTTTAATTTATACAAAAACAGTGTAAAAACATCTGTTTGTGGGTTTATGTACTGTTGTGTGCTAAATTATTTATCGGCTGGGTGCTGTAAGTCTTCTCACATTGTAATTTGTACACCGCATTTTTCATCTGAATTAAAAACAAATAGGATGTAATGTGTTAATCAGTGAGCTTTAGACTGGATGGTGGGTAGATGTTACACCCTGTTTCCAGTGTGTGAGCTAAAAGCTAAGCTCTGCGGCTGCTAAATTTATCTTCATATTTAGTGTGATGACAGATGTGGGGAGCGATGTCGATCCTCTCACGCCTGGTTCATAAAGATGGTTCTGCTTGAAAAGGTTGCAGATTGAAAACCCAGTAATGGACCTCATTCTCAGGCCATTTTCAACTTGTATCAAACTCTAAACAAAGGAGCAGGTACAGCTAAAAAGTGGCCAACTGTAATGTACAATGTTAAACATCATGCAACACCAGGAATCTGACACTTCTGTAATTTACAAGCTGGTTAATCAGAAGAATCTGGAGGGATACAGGTTATCATTTTAAAGTTCTACATGTGGCCTACGTTAGCTTGGTACCTGCTAAACTCGGTTAGCGGTACCTTTTGTTCACAGGGTTCTTAATTTATTCATACAACCAGAATAACAGGACTCCATTTTGAACTGTTGTGTAAAATACAGGTATTTGTATAATGTACACCTCGAGCCAGCTTGATCAAACTGTAACAGTCTTTTCAGTGATCATCTGCTGTTAAATGGAAATACAATTAACCTGTAAATGTGCCTTTAAATAACTTGCGAGAGAGATATTGAAGTCAGAGTATTCTACACACTGTGGGTCTCCTGCTGTATTTTTACCTTTTCATTTGGGGGGGGGGTAGCAAATGAAAATTGAAGAAAATCTGTGGTATAGATTTATTCTAGAATTAAAGGGAAAAACCACTTGATTAAGTATCTAGTATAAATGTACTTTTACACAGTGACGACTACCTGAATTCTGCATTTTGTTTTGTTTTTGAGTTTTGAAGCTGAATTCTCAGCCTGTTTGTGTGGACATGCAGTCTGCTATCACACCAAATTACACGTGCATGTTTAATGTTAAATTAATCAAATGATGGTTTGTAAAGACAAGTGATGCTCAGGTAGATTAATCATGTATCTAAAAATGGAAATTGGTTTTTATCAACATGTGACTGAACTGGGGTCAGTTCACTTTCAGTTCATTTGGAAAAAATGTGTTAAATTTACATTAAATCTCTGAAGAAATACTTTTATTACTTTGACCAAAACATGTAGAGTTACAGCTCTCATATCATAGAACAATGCTGTGCAGTTCTTTTATAGTGTGCAGTGATCATGAGCGTTATATTTATGGCGTGCTGTCTGTAACGCCAAAGGGAGAGAGAAAACGGCTCCCTGCTCACGCCAGCCGAGAGAAACTGAAAATTAACTGACCCCCAAAACCTGCAAACACCTGCTGTAGAACAAACATATCTGTATATTTTAGCCATCGTGGAAAGACTTTTAGACTTGAATAGAGTTTATTAATTTTTACTTAAAGGAGGGTTGATGTAGGTAATTTTAGTTGTGTATTTATGTGATTATTTAATGAGCTATTTAATGCCAGCCAAAGAGATGTGTGTGTGTTCTGTGAGGAGTTTGGCTGCTGGAGAACAAAGTCGAGGTTTAATGTGTAAAATCTGTGACATATCTGTCGTGTTCGATCCTTCAGGGTTCAGGTTGAGATGTGATGTCGGGGGGAGGAGGAGGAGGGGGAGGAGGAGGAGGAGGAGGAGAGTAATAAAATAGAATTAATTAAACAGTTAAACATTGTTCAATGTGTTATCAAGGACAACAAATCACGTGTTCACATCCCACATCTGCCACCGGTCTGTTAGACTGTGTGTGTGTGTGTGTGTGTGTGTGTGTGTGTGTGTGTGTGTGTGTGTGTGTGTGTGGTTATTAATGGCCCTGAGTCCAGACACATAAGCCTGTTATTGCTCCATAAACAAAGCTCTTAGTCACTGCTGTGCCAACACACACCTCTACCTCTCTCTCTCCTCTTGCTCTCTGTTTGTTTTCCATTTTTCCTCCCTTGTTTTTCAGTGCTCTTCTCTTCTTTCTCTCCTCTCCCACTCATGTCTTTTTCGTTGCCCTCCTCTTCTTTTATCCCTTCCCTTTTTTCATTAACTCTACTCTCCCTAACCCTTTCCTGTTCCTCCACCCATCTCCTTTTTTTTCTTCATCCCACTCTTTCTTTCCTGCTTCCTCTCCTCTTCTACTTTTATCTGCTCTCCCATTTTTTTCAGCTCTCCCTATTTTCCTCCTGCCCTTTGTTTCCTTTTCTATCTTCCCCTTGTTTTCTCTCCTCTCCTCTTCTGGTTTCCTCTCCTGTCTTCCCTGTTTCCATCTTTTCTCTTTTTACTTCACCTCATTTCTTCTGTCTTCCCCTTCTCTACTCTCGTCTTTTTGTTTTTTCTTCACCCTTAGTTTTTTTTCGTTCATGCTTCCTGTCCTCTTCTACTTTTATCTCTGGCTCATTCAACCTTCCTCCTCTCCTGTTTCCTTTCCTATCTACCCTTTGTTTCCTTTCCTCTTCTTGTTCCCAAACCTGGCTTCCTTTTGTTTTTCCTCTCTTGTTTTTTTCATCCCATTTTCTTCCGCTCACCCTATTTCTCCTCCTCTCCACTAGCGTCTTTCTCTCTTCCACTCGTCTCTTATTTTCTCATCACACTTTTCTTCTTCACTCCCTCTCCTATTCTACTTCAATCTCCTTAACTCATCCCATTTTCCTCCTCCTAATTTCTCTATTCTTTGTTCAATCTCTTACTTTCATCACCTTTATCACCTCCAATTTTACCTCCTCTCCTCTCTTCTCTCCACTCATCTGTTTTCCTTCACCCAATTTTTTCTCGCTTGCTTCCCCTCTTCTCCCATCTTTTTACGTCACTCAATTTTCCTCCTCACCACATTTTTTGTTATTCCCTTTTTTCTCTCCTTTTTCTTCTAGCATCTTTTTATGCCCATTTTTCCTTTCCACTGTTTTTTTTATTTTTATTATCTTTCCTTACTCCCTCTCCTCTCATCTCCCTCTTTTTTCATTTCCCCATCCCTCCTCTCCAAACGGCTTTTAAGAATAGTGATGACTCATGCCTCCTCCTATTGCTGCCATGTGTTGCCATGGCGGCGCCCCCAGATGTAATTGACTCCTCCTGAGCGGCGCTGGGTGAACGGAGAGAGACAGACAAGAGACCGCCGACTCACCGGAAGCCAAAAGCTGATGTCATTCACTCTGTTTGGATGACAAGTCTTTTTCTCAGGCTTTATTTCCAACATTCAACACAAAACATCCATTCATTCTGTCTCTATCAGCTCACACACACACACACACACACACACACACACACACACACACACACACTTCATCTACAAACGCAGCCTTCTTCTTGCTTCAGTACACAGTGGCTACTTTCATTTGCAAGTTTTACAAGGTGACAGACTGTTTGGCTGCAGGTGGTTTTGTGACCTTTATCAAATGTACTCCCTCCAGTAGCAGAGTGGAAAAGAAAAAAAATGTCATTAATGCTATGAAAAAAAAAAAGTGTTTCAGCTCAGTCTTTAGAGTTGTTATTGAGTATAAAGTGTAGTGAAAAATACCGGTGCATGTCTCTCTGAGTGAGGAGCCACTGTATGAGACGTGACAGGAAGTGAAGCTCTGCCCTGTTTGTCCCAGTGCTGGTCAATAATGAACAAACAATTTTTCTCTGATTCCTTTGTGAGTTTGAATCTTAACAGGCTGCATTGCTTTGTTCTGCCTCCAGGAAATATACTCGTACTCTAATGTCTGACTTGACCAAAGCTCTCCCCCAACCCTCTTACAAAGCTGACTGTCTGTCTTATAAATGGAAGCATTACAACTTTAAACAGTGTTAAAGCTCAGTGAGCGCTGTGTGACGATGTTTACCTTTTAAGAAGTGCAGGTGGTGACTGACTGAATCATGTTATTCCCTTTGGAGCTTACTGTAGCAGCGTGTACCCATTAGTGATGTGTGAGACCACTGATTTCTTTTCTGATACCGGCTGATTCCAGGCGGGTATCGCTGATACCAATACTTTGTACAAAAGCAATGAATGCAGAAAAAGGAAATTATTAATATCTAAATCTCAGGTGCTTAACAAGGTTTGTGTTGCTGCCACAGTACCTCACAGTCATCCCACTCATCACATACAGCATTGCTGCTGCTCTGAGAACTGAAAAAGTCCCACACATGACTGTTTGCAGTCAGCCATCATCAATGTCAACACTGTTCAGTGGCGTAAGCTTTTATAGAGACATAGTTTGCATAGGACTATGGCAGGTGGAAGGAGAAGTAGTTCTGATCAACCAGGTTTTCTAAATCCATGTGAGTGTTTTCGTACTCATAGCGATAAATGGAGAAATGACACAATGTGATCATGTTATTTAGGCAGCTACAAATGTGTTAAAAACGCCAGAAATCTGGTGTCAGTCCTGCAGAATTTGAAGGAGCTATTCGTACGATTTGCTATTATACATAGCCAACGTTCACATTAACAGCGATTTGCTTAGTTGCCGAGAGCTTCAGCCATTGTTGCATTTACAGATGAGGTTATAATACACCCTCTGAGCAGCGCTCCTTCTTCAGGGCACATTGGACAGTGACTCGGCATCGGAAAGTGACGAGATGGGCCGACCACACCGGGGTAGCTGATTAGCATGCTAACTTCAGCAGAAGAAAAGAGGTGATAGGAATAGAAGCAAAACAAGAGTTAACATGTCTTATCTTGGTGAGTAAAGGAATGAAGTTTGACGCTGAACTCGCAACTTTCATCAAGGCTGGTAACTAAACAGCTGTTAAAGCTAACGCTGGCTATGTCGCAACAGCAAAACTTTGATTCCATTCTGCACCAGGGTTCAACTGTACAAGAAGAAAGACATTATGGACGAGACAGAGACAGTATTACGTAATCAAATAACTGTGAATTAATTAAAAAGTTTGTGGAATTAAGAGTCTGTGAAATTGATGAAATCTGTGGTGCAGCAGCATTTTATATCAGTGGCACTAGAAAAAAATGGCAATGTCTGATGACTCATGTCTGGGCCGTTGTGACACCACTTGGTGCTTTGCTGAAAGTCTCTGTTTAGTGTATGAATCGGCTGCAAATATGAGATTAAAAGATGCATCGCATTTGCTCTTGGCATGAATATTTGTTTGTCTTGTATGTTTTCAGTGGCCCAGCTACTCATCTGCCTCTCAGTCATAGTCCTGTGAGAGACGAAGGTGAAGAAGTGGAAAAATAAACTACAGACTGAGGTTTACAGATGTTTTCCAATCTGCTCTAAAAATCCCTTTAGGCTTTCTCTCAGTTCTTATTTTATTTCTTGCGTCACATTTCCTTTACATGTGTGTTTCCTCCCTACTCTTCAGTGACTGTAGCTCGCACTCTAGCTGCCTAAAATGTAAATGCAAAGAGAGAAGTGGGAGGCAAAGACAGGAGAGGAGAGTAACTATTAGGCATGTTGATGAGAGAATTACCCTCATCGAGTCTCCATCCAGACCCGACAGAGAGGCAGGAAGGTGTCCAGTTAGACCTAGAGTGCCACCTCCACACCCACGCCCCCACACATCCCCAACTCCCCCGTAAACCTCCTCCAAAGTCAAAATGTGTCACCATGGTAACCGCGGGAGGAATGGCGAGGAGGGAGGGGAGTTGTTTTGCTTGGTGATGTGGCAGCCGAGCAGCGGTGTGTGGTGTCTCACCCCACCAGAGACCTAAACTGCATATAATAGTATAGTATCCGAGGTTAGAGGGACTGCCAACGTGAGAGGACAACAGGCCGAATTTCTTCTTCTTCTTCTTCTTCTTTGATTTCTCTCTCTCTGTCTCTCCGTGTGAGTGCAGACAGAAAAGCAGAGAGAGGGGCTCGAGGCTGACACACTTACTGCAGAGGAGCACTGAAATGGCAGACAAAGATGAATTAGGAGCCATTCATCACTGGCTGAAATGAATGCAGAGTGTGTAGGTGTTGATCCATCAAGGTTAAATTTTGGAGCCCAAATCGATCTGTGGCCTCTCCCTTCAGGGAGTGTGTGGCTGTTTTCATAAAGATTACTGTGTCGTTCTCTCTCCCTCGCAGTAAAATCTGAGTTATGTAAAAATCAAACAGAAAACTGTTAAGTTATTCTGACAAGTGTGGAGTGGAGACCGAGCAGTGCTGCTAAACATAACTTTTCTTTCATCTTTCCTCTTGATAAACCAAAGCCGTCCTGACCAAGCCTGTTGTCTCCAACGCTGAAGCCAGTATCTCGTTTCCTTACCTCACCTTACCTCACCTTACCTCATATTTAATTCACAGATTTACTTCAAACTCAATTTGTACAAGAAAACTACTAAGCTTTAATTTAACAAGAGGCACTTGTAAGTGTGATGTTTCTATGCTCGCTCTTGAGTTATCATGCTTTCCTCCTAACTAAGCCAATTAGCTCAATAATTAGCAAAGAGATTTTACACCAACATGTTTGTCTTTGCATGCTACATACTTGGTATTACTTTCTAAGCTAAGCTTCTTAGCTTAGAGTGTTAGGGAGTTAAAGCAGTATCTGGGAAATAGATCTTCCCTCATTAATTTCAAATGTATGCAGAAAGGTGCTCCAAATCAGATCATCTACTCCACATGGGGTACATGTGGTGTAAGTATGAAGTTTCCACTGCGTGTCTTTCTTGTGTTCAAAAG